TATCGGTGCAGATTTTGTAAATCCTCCAACTACAAGTGGATTTAGATGTCCGATCATTGTGTTTAACCTTTTTCAAAGATTTCTTTACATCTATTTATTGCTTATTTCATATTTAATCAAATTAAAATTCAATTGCTCTTCTAAAACTTTTTTAATTTAATTAGACGTTATTGTTTTATACTTTTCTTTAATTAATAAAAATTACCAGTAAGCGTTATTTCTCTGGAAATCGAGTTAGGATTGTCCCTAATGAAAAAATACACGTGTTCTAAATATAAATTATTAGTCTTTACAAAAATTAATTTAAAAATGTGTTTATCATGTATTTTAATTAATTAATCGAATATAAGTTATTATATTTTAAATTTTATTAAAATAGCTTAAACATAGATATTAGAGTTATTTATCAAGAAAATAAATGAGATAATTTTTATTTCGTTAAAACGGGATAAGAAAGATTAAAAAACTTTTTAAAAATTATTCAAATCCTATTCAATAATAAAATATATATATATATATAATTTTTTGTCTTTACTAATTTCAATAATCAAAATTAATGCCTGAAATCATTCTATATCATTTAACCTATCAAAATGCAAATTAATAATGAATTAAAATAAAGAAATTTATTGTACCGTTTCATAAGAAAATTATAATAATTAAAATATTTTTACTTCCTAATTATTAGTTTATATTTTAATAATTTTTACACATTCTTGTTAAAAAAAATCTATTGATAAGTTACTTTTAGGCTGACTAACTCAGCAACCCATTAGTTTGTCAATCCACTAATAAACGTGTCTTGGATTAGTATTTTTAGCTATTTTAAAAAATGAGTCATATTAGAATAATTCACTATTATATATTTCGGGCAAGGTAACTCAATTTATCATCTTTAAAAATATATAGATTAACAAATTTAATTATTATTCTTATTTGAATAAAAAATATTATTAACTCCCTAGTATAACTTTTTTTTTTCTTTCATTCATGGTAAAAGTATAACAATATTTAAATACCAAATAGAGAAATTAAGACTATAGTTAAAAGTTAGAGGATAAATAATGACAAAAAAAGTTGACGACTGATTTTTATTTATTTTTTATATATATATAGAAGATAAATATAATAATTCTTAAAAACGTGAACAAATGAAAATAAATAGAGACATTGTTAAAGATTTATATATTTTGATGTAATAAAAATATTTTATTATTTGAAAAAGTTTAAAAAATTTATAAAAAATCCTGATGAAGCTAATTACATTCGGCGCCTTGAGCCATGATGTATTTATTCTCCATTTCATGTTTATTGTATTGGATGTCCTTTTGGGAGGACAAAGGAAATCCAATGATTAACCTCACAACTTATCTTTAATTTTGAGAATGATGCTTCTTTGATTACTAACAAAGTGCACCAAAAGAAGGTTTTGAAGGAAAAGCAAAATCTTCCCTTTGACCACAAAAAACAATAACCATAGAAACAGCCAAAACCCCAAAACCGAAAAGACCGATACCAAAAGGAAGCCAATGTTATAAATGCAACATAGCCCATAAAGTAATCCACAAAAAAATTTGGAAAAATATTAATCAATATTTGCTTCATTTTTATTTTGATCTTGTATTAATTTACGTCCAATTTTAGTTGTTATTTTAATCATTTATATTTATTTTATTTTATTTTAAAATTTTATCTATTTCTTAATTAAAAATAGAAGTAAAACATATATATTATTTATTTTTATAAATCATTTAAAATATATAAAAATATGTAAATAAAAATATCAAATTTAATATATAAAATATAATAATAAATTTTTAAACATAAGATGAAATTAATTTAAATAAATAAAAAATTATAGAAACTAAATATAAGTAATTAAGAATAGGAAAATTAAAATAAAATATGAACTAAAGCATGAGAACTAAAAATATATTTAAGTCTAAATATTTTTATAAGACATTAAAAAAATAAAATATTTATATATAAAATTTTCAATATTTATTTTTAAAATAATTAAAATATTTAAATTTTGTTTGAAAGTTTGAAAGAAGTGAAAAGAAAAAGCTTAAAAATAAGTTAAAAGAGGAAAAAGGAAGGGAAAAACTAATAAAAATTTATCTAGATTATGAGAACTTTAAAATATAAATTTAGAAATATTTATAAAACTTTTTTTCGTCTAAAAATTATAATCAAATAATAATTTTCTTTTCCTTTCTTTCATTCCAAAAATCAACTTCTAAAGAATTAATAGAATATAAATATTTTGTAACTAATAACCTTAAAATGGTGTAGCAAGTTTATACATACACAAGTTGTTTTTTCCTCCTTTTTCTCTTTTCTCTAACCATTCTATTCAGCGACGACCAGAAGAAATTTCCATCTTATTAAGGCTCGTTTCTATTTGACAAATAACTCACCTAACATTTAGTTTCTAGAAGTGCTACTCATTATCGTTTTAAAACATCGAACTCATAGGAAACGTTCAGTAGACTCGAAGTGCCTTATTTAATTTTTGCTAAAATTGGTGTTCAAGATGTTTTATATTAGCTGAAATTAATTATTTCTTCAGTTTTATAATGTCATTTTCTTATCTATTGTATTTCAAACTTTTATTAATTTTTGTGATTTTTATATCACTTTACTAAGAGTTTTAATTGTTTACATTATTATTTTATCATAGCCATAAATATGTGTGTGTATATATAATTAAGTTCATATTATTTAATTATTTAACAATAAATTTTCTTTTAATTATTAGTGTCTTATATTTATTTTACTGTTAAGGAGTACGTTATAAATAAGTTATTATGTATCGACCTAATATAATAAATAATCTTCATTCTGTAATATTTTCCAATCTTAAAATTAATTCACAAATAATCAATTATGATCCATGAACAATTCACACGATTTAATAGTTCGCTATAAAAGCCACTTTAAGATAAACAGTAAAATGTGAAACCCGCTCCCATGTTGGGTATGTTCATCTAACTTTGTTTAGCTTTAAATAACAAAAGAAACAAAACAGTGTTCAGTTCTTTGTCTCTATCTGCAATATACTTCTCAAGACTTGTGACAAGCTTTTAACGCTTCTATCATATTCCTTTCTTTCGGAGTTCATAGTTACAATGCCGCTGTGAAAATAGTTATCGTTTCCATGATTCTGAAATCAATTGAATTCCAGTCCCCTTAAAAAAAACCTCCAAATTAAGATAATAATTTTTACACTCTTTTATCTTATATCATAAAACATTGATCTAAAAATGTTAAAAATAAATATTTTGATTATCATAACAACATGGGATTTTTTATTTAAATTAAAAAAGCAAGTTTAAAATTGTAAGCATCAATATAATATTTTATGCGTGTAGAATAGAATAATGTGTTTGCGTGAGAGTCCATGTTTGGCTCCGTCTAGCGATGCCACCGTCAACAACTCATCATCCATGCCACTGCCAGCCTGCCATTCCCAACCAAAGCCATAAACTAAACATAGCATAACTTTACTGCCAAACAAAAGGGCGTTACTTGCATAAAAAAAATTACTTAAATTAGCTAATCAAGTTATGATTCATTCCCATACGCAATTCAATTTCACTCACTCACTCTCCAAATTGGTCAAAGGTACCCAATATATATATTATTTTTATATAAAGTAACGCGCGTTGAGGAGGGTAAGGATGAGAACGGAGGAAAAGACCAAAAATGCCCCCCGTCGAAGATAAGGGGGTCAAAGTGGTCCATGCAGTGGTCAAAGAACTCATCTCAAGCTTTGCAGTCACAGGACAGTTTCGTCATTCACATTACAAATAAAGAAATGGCATTAAGAGTCGTGCCAAAACAACGCCTTCACCTGCAACGGCGTCTCGGCGTTCCAAGTGACGCCCAACCTCCCTTCTAGAATAAGGTTCATTTTATCTACAAAATTTTACGTATATAAACATGCAAATTTTATAAGATTCTCCAAACTTTTCTTCAATTTTTTAATTTAAAATATATTAATAACATTTTTTTATAACACTGTTTAATTTTGGTTTAACTAACCAATATTCTAAGACTATTATTTAACATTTGCCACAAATTCCAGATAAAAACATTTGATCACAATAATATTTAGATCCATATAGACTTTTAGTGCAAAAATAATATTTGTTCCTTGCCCCTCTGGGCGCTTCAGAGATATCTCAACTCTTACGACTCTTGTCTCTCTCACCACCAAGAATTAAAAAATTAATGTATTTTTATTATAATTTCTTATAAAAAATAGTTGTTAATGTCTTAATCGTTAAATAAATATTTATTCACTATTAATAATAAAAATTAGTTCTCAACTTCCACCATTTAATTGTCATTAAAATAATTGCAGAAAAAGATTAAACAAACCACAATGTTGCGTCAGCCTAAGCACTTTTAGATCTATACAGTACTCGGCGTAGCTTACCTCACCTCAGCTGCAATGGTTTGAATGGAATCTCAGAGATTTGAGATCTCAAAACACCCATCACTTCTTCCTCAATCCCAAAGACCAACAACACCCTCAAACGGAAATTAAACTAGAAACCGAAAAAGATGAGAAAAATTTACTTGAAGAGGATAAAAACTAAACAAATTAAAGGAATAAAAGATGAAGGAAGCAATGAACAAAGAGAAATCATATGTCTAAGCTAATATTAAAATTAATTTCTTCATTCTAAATATATATTTCCTATTCTCAGATAGCCAGGAAACGTAACAAAAGTAACACCATGAAGGCTCGAACATGACCCTCAATTGATTTAGCTTCAAAACACACCCTTGGAAAAAAGAAAACAAAATTGAAAATTTCTAGCAAAGAAAAACGATTTTTTTATGTACAAGTATATCTCTTCCATCTCCAAGGTAGAAATAACCTTAAAAAGTGATTTAATGCAAAAGAAAAGAAGAAAGGGGACACAAGAAAGGGGAAAACTTTAAGCTCTCTCAACGACCCTTTTTGATTCCCGCACCAACCCTTTTCTTCAGGAATCACTATAATCACGCCAGCATATGAGCATTGTGACACAGCGCCTCATGATGTAGAAACGAGCCCTTTGTTCCTTCACAAGCCTTGCACACTTGCTAGCAAAAGCACACCTTCTTTGTGTTGAATTTTTTATGAAAGGGGTGCTTGAAGATCTGCTCCTAGTGGATCCTTCTTTCTTCGACAACTTCCACTTCTCATCAAAGTACAAAGGTGGTGCTCTTCCCATGCTGGATACTGAAGAAGCCATGGAGAAAGATCAAAGGGGAAATTGCTATGTGTTTTGCTTTTGTTTTTGGGTGGAAAACACACAAGAATAAGGAAATGAGAAACTGGGGGTAGTGAATTTACTGGGAGACTGAATCACTGAGGAAGGCTTATGAGGTTAGGGTCAGTATTTATAAGGGGTTAGATTGGAAAAAAGGGGTAGCAGATGGAGGTGTGTCATGTGTGTGGCAGTGTGTGTCACCTGGTTCTTCCTTTGCCTTGAGAGGCCCACCTTTCATATTTTTTAATCTAATGATAAATATATTTTTTTATTGGGAAATTATTAATTATTGCATTATATTATAATATATTAAATGTTGGCTAGGAAAACTATTACTATAGTAAGGTGGGTTCCCAATGCACACGTCATTGATGAAAGTGAGAGACGGGAATTGAATGCAGGAAATCTTAACCCCGATACTATGTTCATTTTGACAGGGAAAATGAGAAAAGCAATTAAACAGGAAGATTATTAATAGTATTTTCTTCGTAAGAATAAAAATGTCTGAGTTGAATTAAGTAATTACTTTTTAAAAATATCATTATTTTTTAGTTCTTAAAAAATATAAAAAAAATACATAATCTGAATTCTTAAAAAAAAAAGTAAGTGTGAAATTAGTGGGGGTGTGGAGGTCGATGGAAGTGTGAAATTGTGTGAGATTGAGAGGAAAGTTTGTCAGCATTTGGAAAAGATTTGAAATTGGGAATACAGCTTTTATGATGAGTGAAAAACTTTTGGGATTGGGAAACCTTGGTGGTGAAAAAGGGCATTTGATTTTCCTTTGTAGGCTAGAAATGCCCAATGCAGAGGAGATTCGAAGAGAGGGGGGACCAAGAGTGTTTTTCTATTCCTGTTCACCAATTTTACCTATATGATGTGGAAGCCACTTTTACTTCTACTGTGGATCCATGGATAAAGCTCTCTTGTCTGTTACAACTTTCTGTTTTTTCCTTTAAATAACATTGTCATTTTCCCACTGGAATTTAAGAATCTCACCACATTATTCTTTTTTAGGGTAAGAGGTTCCCTTGTGCTCCTTTGTGTCATTTGGCTCTTTTAGAACAGAGAAATATTGTTACTTCATGGTTTTCTGTTTTTGTTATGCAGAAATATGAATTAAAACAAAAGAAAATATTTAACAGTATCTTTAACACATTGATTAAAAATAAATAAAAGTTTATTAAAAATACTATTACACACATACTTACTATAATTTTAACAAAAAATATTTTTTACAAGACCCTTAAAAAAACTAAACAATGATTATTTATTAACAGTGATTGATTTTGTCGTATAGCGTGATTAACAAAAGTGTTTCAGTCCTTTTTGTCTAATTGCTAGAACGAAGAATCTTTATTATACTTACTCGAAAAATATCTTTGAATAACAAAAATACAAAACCAAAAAAATAAAATAAAAAAATAATAGCCTCAAACTGGCGAAAGCTTCAATCAGCACATATCCGCTGCATTTCTTTGTTTACATAGTACTTCGATGGCAGCCAAACACTAATGCTAGACAGAACCTTTGCCAAATCACCCAGAAAAATCAGAAAAGAAAAAAAAAACGTGTACCAATATTCTACCACCCAGTCTTCAGATTCCATCCACATTAGCTCTTATGACTAAAAGAATAAATAAACTAAAAAGTATTTGTGAATTGCTTCATCTTAATATATTGTTTTGGATCAAGCTTGTATGTTAAATCAAATAAATAAATTTAAAGTACAAGAAAAGTTAAAATTTTAATTTGATTATTTAAATATATCAAAATACAAATTTTATAATATTGAAATTAATAATTTACGAATACTTCTTGAATATTTAAAATTATGTAACTTGATTTATTAATATGCAAAATTGTAACTTATTATTATTATTATTATTATTATTATTATTATTATTTTATATCTATTGCTTTTAACTCTAATTTTCAAGAGTTAAGTAACTATAAAATAATATCATTTACTAATAATTTAATATTATATTAACCTTTGTTAGTATAGAGTTTTGTAAAAAAAAAACAAATAAATTATTATAGTGCATTTATATATGAAGTGAAATATGTATAAAAAAACTAAGAAACGAGATAAAATAATGTGTTATTTAAATGAATGTAGATAAAAAAAAGTAATTATTTCAATGAATTAATTTTTTATATTAATTATAGAAAATTTAAATTAATTCTATAATATTTTTTTGATAATATTCTCTCTTCATGTGAACATATAAACATTTTTATCTTTCTCCTAATTTTTTTTTTCTGTCTGTGTGTATATATATATATATATATATATATATATATATATATATGTATATAATTTTTTATGTAATGATTGACAGTATAAGTTACTTTTCAATATTAAGAAATTTGTAATAGTATGGTAAATTATTTTGCTAGTTTAGGCTTATAATGTCTATGTTAAAAGTTTATTTTGTTAGATAAAGACGAATATGATACTAAATTGTCAGTAAAACATAAATTTCGTAATATAATATATTATTAATTATTTTTTAAATAATCATTATAAATTTATAATTTAAAATTTTAAAAACATTTCACTCTCCAAATGAGCAAAATATGGATTTCAATTACAAGTACCTAAAAACATTAAGGTTCTGAACATTATTTGATATTTTGATTGACTTTTTGAGTACTCTATCACACTTGACAGAATCTAACTTAAGTTCTGTGGAATACAAAATGCCCAACGCACAAGCTTCTGGTATCCAGTTCTTTATTTTTCTTATATAAACTCATTTAAAGAAAGTGAGCAAAAGATGATTACAGGAAGGGTTAAAACTTAAAATCCTCAAGATGATCACAGGAATTGTGTGAATGTGTTTAGTTACGGATAAAACTTTGAAACATTTGGCAGATTTTAGCAAGTAGCCGTGCACTACTGGGGTGCGAGTGAGGGAGAATGGATGGAGAGGTTGTGTACGAGTAGAGAAGGGAAAGGTGAGCATGAGAGGTGAGAAAAAATGAAGAGAGAGTTTAGCAAAGAAAAAATGAGTTAGGTATATAAAAGGACAGTTAAATACGAAGGTTGAAGAAAAAATGTGAGATTGGCAAGAGATATAAAATTGGCCTGATCAACATTTTGTGTAATTTTTTTATTTATTTTTAAGAGTCTATTTTATCTTAAGTGAAATTTACATACAATTTGGAGATTTCGTATTCATAAAATCCAGCAACATATTAATTTATATATTTTTAATTGTTAGTCAAGATTTATAAAGATGTACAACATTAAAAATAGAAATGAATTCACATATATTTAATAATATTTAGTGAATTTTAGATAATAAAAATAATATATTTAAAAAATATATTTTTTAGTAATTTTTTTCTTCTTCTTATTATTATTATCAAAATTTTAATGCATATTTAAAGATGCATTTAAAAATGAATAAATGAATAAATTTAAAACTATAACATTTATATTTTTAATATGTTGTGTTATTAAATATTTTAAAATTTTTAATTAAAAAATTATTATATACAAGATCACTGGTTAGAAAAATTAGATTATAATATTAAAGTATTTATGTATAAATTATATTTAGAAAAAGGGAATGGTTGCCTTGATTCCGCTTAACCTCCAAGCTGATAGGTATGAATTTGATTGCAGAAAGTGTGAAGATGTGTTCAGTAGCAAACCAATTGTTGCGAGTTCTTTTTACCTACTCTTGGAAGTACGTAAGGTTTAAGGGTTGCTGATTTTGTTGCCTCTGCCTCTGAACTTGCAACTCTCTGTGCATTTGATACACCAGCTACCACCCACCCCCCACCACACCCTGATTCACTCAATCTTTTTCATCTCTCTCTGCACAACACAGTACACCCTTTCTCTACCTCACTTTGCATTACTTCATGTTAAGTGTTTACAACTTTACTAATAATTTTACTGCTCCTTCCAAGAATCCTTTTCAACTTGCTTAATAATAATATATTTTTTAACACTCTTTTTAATATATCTTTTTATATTGTGTAACATTGTACAAGTTAAAATAATAATAAACTTTAAAATTAAAAACATAAATAGATAAATTAATCTTAATCTTAATATAATAATGATGGGTAATCTAGTGGATGTGACCGTACATGGTGGGGGCTTTGTTGTATCAAGTGAAGGGGGTGTGACCCACAGTGACATATCAGAAGCTGTATTTGTACGAAGCGTGATGGGGCAGTAGCACCATGGTGAGGTTTAATTAGGCTATAACCTCATGTGCATGTGCAACAAAAAAGTGGCGACGTTTCAATTTTGTGAAGAGTTTTGATCATCGTGCTCGTGCCTAGCCAAATTCATTGCAGCAAAGGGTTCCCATGTCCCTGACGGGAAACATCACTGCACCCCTATGTAATTTCTCATCACCACTTAGCTCCTACATTTCAATGTCCAAACAAATGAATCTCATTCTTCTATTCAATCTAATTTTTGCTTCAGCATATGGACAATTCATTTTCAAAACCTCACCTCTCCAATGTTACTATCATAAACGTGACACGCTTCAATTTTAATTATTTGAATAATAATTAATATCTTCTGATAATTCAAAGCATATATGGCGTTGCCAAACTTTTCCCCATTTATATGTGGTACCAATCATGGACCCCATGGTTTTTAAATTTTAGACCCTAATTGAAATAAAAAGATCTCATGTAGGAAATTTGCACGAGTGTAACATTGACTTTCCTGGACTTTCCAAGTTCAATTTGCAGAATTTGTATGTAGTTTATGTACACTATTAAATGCACTTCTTATCTATATCTCTAGCACTCGTCAAGTTTCAGTAAGAAATGGTTATGGTTCTTTATTTCATGTCGGCATTCTTATCCCTTACCCCTTTTTTATTGCAGTTTTCCCATTGCAAATTAAAATTTATTTTAATTATTCACAGTATTACAAAAATAATTGGTTTATAATTTAGGTACTGTCAACGTCATTTATTTAATTCCTTAATAATGAGTTTTTCACATCATATATTGAATTACATTCATTCTATAATGACAACATTAAATGTTTTTCTTGTGCTATTTATTATCCAATAGTTCATTGTTCTATGTCGTAATAGAC